CCGATCAAATTGATTTAAATTTCGTGTCGTCGCGCTTTATGTTCTTGGCGATAAATATATTTTGATCAATGTAAGAGTCACACAATGGTTTTGTGACATCGTACTTAAGTGCGTACAATCGTCACCACTTTTGGCTGTGACCGTTCGACGAAGGCACAATGCCACACAATGAAAATAAAATACAGGATGTATTTCTTAAATTTTATCGTTTGTAGAGGTCTTGGAGTGGCTTCGAGCCAGTAAATGGGTTTGTGCGAATGGTAGATGTTACCTGAGTGTTGTACGTGTCTGAATGTGTATGTGTTTGTTGCTGGAATGTACGAATGACTTGGTGGTTTCGTGAGTAGTTTCAAGAAGTATAAAAGCAAAGACCCTCATTGCAGCACTAAGCTGATACAACTATTCTACTGACAAGGTGTCAACAAGTTAGAAGACGGTTAAGGAATAAAATAAGGGGACAGGTACATGTATAAACTGAGTGAAGTTTTCAACTAAAGCGCAAGCATGACAACCTACGTGAAACTGGATATCTATTCTCCTAAACATGCGGAGATTTTAGCATGTTCCTCAGTCTGTTGTACCGAAGAAGCGTACTTGAGGGAGACTTGACAAGGCGGTATCGTGCATCGTGCACTCAAAAAACAGGAGAACAGGAGGTCCGCAACTGTCCGTCTGCCTGCTTCACTCGCGTCTCTCGTTTCCATTCCACGTTGGCCACCATCTCTGAAAAGATTGCCTTGATGATGTCTTCGCATGTGTCGAGCTGTTTCGGCTTCTGCTGGGGTCAAATACTGTGATCCGTGCTGGTTTGGACTTAATGTCGAGGACGGCGCCGCACCAGTGGTTTCTGTTGATGTGAATCGGTAGTAGCACGTGAGTGCTGCTCCCCAGGAATGGATCCGAGCCGCGGATGATCTTCTGTTGGCTGTCAGCGTTTTCTGTCCCAGTAGCACCAAGTAAAATTATTGCAACGTGTTCAAACTCTTCTTGAATAGTCGTCATTACGTGCATCATGCAATCGTCGCTGAGCCATAAATCTTCTCTCAAGAGGAGTAACAACTTGTTTGACACCGTTCCGAACGGTGTCAAGCGTGACATTGGTAGGACAATCTGCTTCAGCGCTAGCGTAGCCTTCGCCTTATCTAGGTCCGTATATTTGCAGAGGTCTTCGAGGACGATCAGTCTGTTGAGCGACGTAACAGCCATCCACTCAATGGCATCAGAAACGCCCGTCAGCGATGCCATCATTTGATGATATTCCACCATTACTTGCACTTGCGCTTCGCTGATGACCCCTATCTTGGTAATACGAACACCAACGGGTAGCCCAGGATCTGGTAGCGACTCTCTATAGACTTCCAAAAGTATTTTTCACTTGTGCGTGAACTGCTCAGAAAACACGAGCTTGACGCTGATTAAGGCCTCGTTGGGGGCGATCACCTTCGCTATTATTTGCTTCCTGGGGCCCATCGTCTTAACCTTGAAGTTGGATAGGAAGTCGTGTACCGATTCGTAGCTGTATGCCGACTTGAGCACCCTTGCCGCATTTCTTAGCGTCGTAACCGGTAGCAACGTTCGTTGAACGAGCTGCTTGGCCTCCTTTCGAGAGTTCGTCATACGCATCTTCTTAATTAGCTGATCCTGATGTTTCCGTACCTTGGGCCGACCTCTGACTTTGGTGCTTTTCAAAACGAAGAACGAGTATTCCTCACTTGAACTGGAACTAAGTTGCCCGCCCTCTGAGAGCGCTCTTTCATTGGCGTTATCGCCTGTTTCGCTGTGGCAGGATCATTGGCTGACACCGCCTCGTCAGTCAGCCAGCTGCTGGACTCTGTTTGCTCTGAGGTTGCTTCCACAATACTAATATCTCCGACTGCGTGACTGGAGCCTGCAGCGTGGCTAGATCTACTTGTCATCGCTACTGTGTGATTTGGGTGACTTGAACAAATCGTCACACTGTCAGAGTGACTTAGCGATTGGGTCACAGTGACCGAAAATGTGTCACTAGCAAGTCAACGCCAGCTGTACGCTCCTCACTTTTGCTCTAATATTCAAATAAAGTGTCGTCTGCGATTGCAGTTGGAGGGACAGAAGCAGAGTTCATTTCTCCATAAGTTAAAAGCGGACCTAGGTTGGAAAGTCGATCGGGCCACACAGAGGCTTGCGAAACGAAAGGTGCGTTTCCAAACCTAACAATAGCTTCAAAGCGCTTCAGGCCTTCCAGCATCTGTACAAACATCGGCGTCCCGTTCCAGCTCATCATGTCAGTGATGCGCGTCGCGATGGTGTGCGACGTCCGAAAATTGTTGGTTCCGTTGAGAACTTTGGGAGACGCCGCTGTCAATCTAGAGTCTCGGACTCGAAACGAATTACCGGCAGCTTCTTCGTCGTCAGCATCTTGATCATTTTCAATCGGAATGTTCAATAGGCACGTCGAACACCACCGAGGATGAATGTGCTTTATCGGGATAGGGCTTATACCGGAAAGCATTCGCCAGTAGATAGCATGTCGGCAGGGTAGAAGTTTGGTCCTCAACTAAAAAAATACACGAACAATGACATGTCTAGAGCTCACAGTCAGTCAGTTCGCATTCATTTCACTCGATAGCAATCTACCAAAATACATACCCTAGTTTGTCAAGGTGGTACTTGCGCTTTGTGTCCACTGCAAAGACCATCTCAATCATGTGGGGCTGGATCTGACGAGCCGTATAAATCCGCCTTGCGGTCGTTGGCAGCTTGGTACTACTTTTCCACCAATTCATACGCATGTTGGCTAGCTTCCTTAGACAATTTGTGCAATTCGGTGTCTGCTCCAGCATAGCGCATGTAGCCGACGTCCGTCATTTTTTCGCGTACTCCATTTCAGGAATAGATTGAAGGAACTGAAGTGTACACACACTCGTCTAACATCATCGAAGGCTTAAGCACGTCCTTCAAATTACCCCACACTGCCTCCAATTTAAAGATGCCGACCAGTCAAATGTTAATACATGTACGTCAACAACGCAAAAAGATCGCGTGTGTTCGGACCTGTTGTTTGTAGTGTTCCCCATGTGTGGAACTTCTACGCGGCAAAACCCACTCCACATTTCCCTACAATTGTGCCAGTTGTCGCGGAAGTACTTGAGGAACGGGTGCGTCGACTCTGGGATTTTTTTTAAAGCGTGACCTGCCCTTCCGTCAACCACATAGGACAGGTATCTCCACCCCATTTCATATTCCGCCTCCGTCGTCGGGCTAAGCATCATGTGACCAGCATCCTCGATCTTGTCTCGATCCTCGATGTTATACTCCCTCTTTGCAATTTCAATGCGGAGATATATCACCACGTGAAATACACAAAGCAAAATTCGCGCTCCAGGGAAAGCCGATTTCAACAGTGATATCTCCCCAAAGTGTTTGTTGACAGTAATAGCTCGAATTTGATCCCACGTCTAATTAAATGACTTGAAAGAGGTTATTGCATCTGTCAAGCAGTCAGCACTTTCGCTCTCCATAACAGCATGCTGAACGTATTGCCCCTGAAAAATCACACAACGTCACACAACTACAAAATACACAGACAGGCACACATTCACACAGCTGACACAAAGACACATCATCATGTGAATAAGACAACATATAGACACACAAGAAGCCAAGAGTATGTACGTGGCCGAAGCCATCGTGTATCATGAAGCTGAACAGCTTGTAACGCGCATCGTTCGTGTTGTGAGTTGCGTCTGTTATCAACACCTGGGGAAAAGCCAAAACAACGCCGCATTTGCTGACTTTGGAAAGTGATTCTCTGCGCAAGCTTTTCATCGTCCACGTAGATTGTCGCTGTGTTGCCTATGCATGAGCAGAAGTCACGGAGACTTGCTTCTAGCCTTAATTCGACGGTGGTAGACCCACGCCGCGCCTCTTTCAGCTTCGCCACTAGATTGTGCACGTCACTTAGCGTGACATTTTTCCCTGCATCAAGAGTATTTGAAGCATTCCGTTCGAGTAAATGTATGGAGCTACGTACCGGTTTTCTTTCTCAGAAACTGCAGTATCATGTTTTTGCCCCTGCAGCTTGAAGCTTCCCTTTTGAACGGCTTGGACGAGACTAGCTGTGTATACATACAAACTTCCGGTAGTATTTGTCGAGGTGTTCAGGGATAATGGTTTTCGCGGTGGCATTTCCTCGCTCTTGAAGCTCGGTGCTCCTCGTCTTCGCGCTCGTTGACGTCCTCGTTTTAAAGATCTGGTTTGTCTTCTTCTGGTACGCGTCAAGACACTCGAAAAACACCTTCCATCTGTCAAACGTTTTATCCTCCATGCGCGGAAACCGAGTGATTTTAGCGTGAGATACAGGGACGTGTTCTTACGGCGACTTAGCTTCAGTGGTATCCATGTCAGACTCGGAGGCTGAGGTGACGCCCGCCATTCCGGATGGGCCTGGCTTTCGCGCCTATTTCGAAATGAAAGGCCCAGAATGAGTTTGGGACGGGTTCTAGGGGGGGGCGTGTTTTTTCTATTTTTGATGATGGCTGATTTGTCGAGATTTGTCGGAATTTTACGGTCAGATATTTTTTATAAAATGCAATTCCGTGTGACTTTATCCACTTCCATATATTTTTGCACACGTAACATTGATTTTTCTATGCTGGTATTTTTTATGCTGCGGATAAAAGAATATGACAGTCGCCAATCACAATGGAATACAGTACTCAGATTTTGAGGGAGCTATTAAAGGGAGGGGTACTACTGTATCGCAGTGACCACCCAGATGTTGGGGTGGGGTACTATTGAGGGGAGGGGGCACTACCGGTAACACAGGTTTTATAGTAAATATCGGATAATGTGTTGTGTGGTCCACACTATTTCTGAATGTGCGTCACCGAAACGACGGCTTGGGATTCGTCCAGGTCGTCATTTTGATTAGCTACATGTAGTAGGGTGCGTCGAGTTGTTCTTGCAGCGGCTCTGACTCCATGGTCGTGGGTGCCACAATGGCATTCTCGAAGTAGACACGTCGAGCTCACAGACCACGGTATAATACCCAGTCAATAACTGAACCTTCTTTCAAGTGCAGACATGCAAGTTTCGCAGCTCTTCGAGTCTATCATTTCGGCTTTTATGAATGCTCCGCAGGTGGACGGCCGCAATGCGCGAGTTCCAGTGGATTTGAGCGTCAGCTCCAAGAAAGCACGCGCCCGCGTGCACACCAAACAGAACGACGGTGCCTACTGGGCCTCTGTGCCGCAGCTGCCTGTGACGGCGTCGTGCCGGTAGACGAATCATTAACAATCAGCCTATCATTGGATCAAGTTGCAAACGTGAAGCTCGTCGAAGAGACATGCATGGGCCATACAGGCTGCAGCATGGCATGAGTGGAATCGTTCCATTCGTGTGCTGGTTTATTTTTTTTATTTACCTTGCCATTTTTTACTAGAAGCTTTACTTTGTCAAAGCCATTTATAAGTAATGGAGTCGCAGACTTTGCCTTCGACGAGTTGCTTTGTATTTTGCACGAGTCGCTTTGCTTTATTTCAGAATACACTTAGCTGAAGGCATCAAATAGACATACGGAAAGCAACTTGAAGCTCAACTGTGACGAGGCAGCTTTCAGTCCGCAAGCACCGGGTAGGTAGCTGCAGTGGCGACTCCGCACAGGTTATTTTTCTGTGAGATCTTGATGTAGCCATCCTCGCCCCAGTGCGTGCTCCACGAGTTCTTAACCTGCACATACACTTCGGTTATTATCACCCTAATAAAGAAATATCCACCCTCGACAGCACCCTTACCAGCGTGTACTTCTGGTCGTTGTGTGTGGTGACTCCGACTGCCAGAACCGAGTGATCGAGGCTGTCCAAGTCGCTCTTGCACTCGACATCGTCGTAGTAGCCGCCTCCATAGAAGTAAAACGACGGGAGGTTCGCATCGATGGACACAGACAGCGGTCCAATCGTCGCCAATGCATCGTTGAGAGCCTGCACGCTCGTGACATTGACGAAGCCTTTCATGCGTCCGATCGCATTGTCCACGTTGAAGTGGCAGTAGTCGGGCGCATTCCGATAAGCCCCATAGGTTGCGGTGGTTTCGAGTCCACCGTTGGCTATGATCCACTCATAGGCCTGGTAGTCTAAGCCTCCGTTGCACGCGTTGTTGCCATAGTCCCATCTGTCGATACAATTCACATAACTTCACTTAGCAATAAATTCCACTAGTTCATCTAGAAAAATGCACATACGAGCAGTCCAGGAGGTTCTGTTGAGACATATTGTACAGCTTTTTCTGCTGAGCGAATAGCGCACCCTCCAAAGCGCCAGTCGTGCTAATCAAGCATACACATTAGAATAGTTAGGCGAAAGAAAAGCACCGCTAGCACAAATATCACTCTCAATTCCGTACCCGAAGGTCCAGCAAGATCCACAAGCGCCTTGGTCCTTTACCGGCGTGACAGCTCCCTTAGTTCGCCAGTCCACGTCTCCGGGGTCTTCGAAAGTCGAAAGTTCATGCACAGCCATCGCTTTGTTATCCTTGGCGCGTTTAACCCGCGACGGACGATGCAGTGCACGTCGCTCTTCGTAACTTAAGTCAGCGAACTTATTCACCTCCAAGTGATATGGCAGTCCCTGCCAAACACATTAACCTATCAGTGTGTTCCAATAGCCTCACAATGCTCGCTCCGTTGCGTACCTTGCGGTTTTCCCCGTTGATGAAGCGAAGGTTATGGTGGAAGGTCGCCATGCGCTGAACAGCCTCAGCGTCGTCGTTGTATTCCTTCTCATGAGTTGCAGAAAAGTTGTCGAAGATCTCCTTCTTCACTGTGGAGCCTTCAGGCATGAGCATGTGGATCTAACGAGCCAGAAGCGCGCATTGGTATCAAACAGCATCACATAGGCAATAATAAATGCGCTTACATCTTGCTTAGGGATGCGTGACGGACCTCCATCATCACCAGGCATCTCGGTACAGTTCATCGAAGATGGCAGGAAAGAAAACACGTCCTCGTCCACTGGCCCTTCGCGTACGTAGATGTAGTCCAAAAAGTATTCATCAATGTGGCTGCCTCCCAGCATTCCGTTGCGTCCCACATAGTGGAATCGTACAGGGCGTTCCGTCTTCTGGTCCACATACAACGTGTACTCTCCCAATAGTCCATCTTCAGTGGGTTCATGCAGTTTGGTGACGAATTTCCAGCTAAAACACGGACGTCCTTCCACTAGGAACACGCCGTGTTGGGGCTCAAAGAGCGTCATGTTGGGGAAAATATGCTGCAGCGACTCCGAGCCAGACTTGAAGCATTTGCGCTCACGAATAACTGGAATGATCTGGTAGCTGGTTCCACTGGTGTTGTAAATGTACACGTCGGTGCCTCCGTAGTAGCTGAGTTTCTGCAGCCCTTTGGTCTCGTCCACGTGGACGTACAGAGGCTCCACCATGTCCATATATGGCATATGGAAGGTGACACTGGCTTCATATTGCGTTGGGAACACCGGTCGCTTGGTGGGTGCCAGGTGGCTGGCGTCCTCCACCGCGCGTAGAATGGCCAGCACGGCGATGAACCCGAGGATGCCTGTGGTCAGAGCGATGATGGCGCACCAGATCCTGCGCGACTTGCTGCGTTGGCGACGGATCACGGCACTCTCGTGTCTCTCCAGGTGGTGTACTCGGACATCGGAGGCTGGAGATTCAAGGAGAAGGAGCAACTTCAAGTCAAAGAACGAACAGGAAGGAAAGAGCGGTATGGGGCAGGAAGCGTATGGCTAGAAGGAGGGCAGATCGAAAACTTACATGAGAGAAGACTTTCCGAGGCACTAGCCTCATGGTCCTCAGAGGGGAGCGTCGTCTTGGACTTCTTCTTGCCCATTCAGTTCACTTGTCGCTTCTTCTTGAATTGATTGAGAAGATCGCTTCAATGACTTATTTTGACCAATCCCAAACCTAAAAACAAACACGCTGTTATGATTAGTGGAAACTATTTGTATGGCCGTTGAAATGCAAAAAGCAATTGCAAACCGTAAAATGAGCTCACTGCGAGGTGCACTGCGACCTGCGCTGCGTGCGCTGCAGTCATCGACTACGTCTTCGGCGCCGCTCACGTTGCGTAGTATGAGCTCTGCTTCCTCGTCACGTTTCGACCGGTCTGCAAAGCTGGCTGACGAGAGCATCATGGAGCATCTCGTGTGTCCTATCTCCAAGCATCCGCTGCGGTATGACGCCGAGCGCGGCAGTCTCGTGTGCGACGAGATCAACGTCGAGTATCCGATCTGGCAAGGAATCCCTATGCTCGTTCCCTCTGAAGGACGCATTATCAACAACGACCAGCACTAGGACGTTAGAAAGCCTATACCGGTGACCGCGAAAGCGAGGACGGGCACAATGAAGATGCAGATTTGAGAAGAGAATAATAAGTTGTTATCACGAAACACAGGCCTATCGGGATTTGCGCAGAGTATTAGAAGCTTGACTTGTTGCCGGAGATTGCTGGAATTTATCTACTGAGCAGCCAGCTCCGACGGGGCAGTCTATTGACTTTTACTCGCCGACTTGCTACCTATTGAACTGTCCTCTACGTACAGAGCTGCAGTCCCAATTAGTACACGTGGCGTGCCGATCGTCGCGGATTGCGACGCACAGGAACGCTGGCAGGGTCCTTCCGTCGCTCTCTTGAACGAGAGATCGGTGTGCTAAACTCTTCGTCGATACGCTCCAGCTCCATGCCTTCTTCCAGTTCCTCCGTCGCCGGTGACATTGGCTGGTCTGAATCTGAGTGTGCTACTTCAAGACGCGAATCTGTCGACGGCTCTCGCACAAATTGATACCGCTTCGGAGTCTCTAGCGCAGCCGAGTTGTCGGTATTCTCTGGAGGCGGCGTCGTAGCCTGTTGCACGGCGCGGTTCTCAGGAACATCAGGTGTTGAATCTTCGGATTCCTGTGACTCAATTGGAGAGTTATCGTCGCTCATACTGTCAGCACTATGGGGCCTTAATGAGTAACCTAACCAATCAAAGTCAAGCAAGCTGACGTTAGCACGAGGTCGTCGATACCAGCAGTAATTATTTTACCATCTGGCGAGCCTGCAGGTTTCGGAGTGGGCGACGCTAAAGAGGTGGTAGCGAAGGTAGGATTGATCTTGGACCGAACTGGCGGCGTGCCAAGCGGACGACGATCTACAGATATGAATCGATGTGTATCCGTTAGCATTAATGGCGCGTGTAGGCGTCAAAAAGAACTCAAACCAATGAATTAGTCTTTCTTACCGCCAAGCGGGGAGACGAGAGGCTGCAACGGGGTAGAGGGAGCGCTGGAAGGCTTTGCAGGGGACGATCCGAAATTAAGGGCTTGGCGAGCAATGCCGCGGGATGCAGTACCGGTGGATGTCGTCTCGACAGGGCTCGGCCGGGTGAGCGCATGCAAGGACAAGTCTGAGCTCGAGTCGATGGACCCGATGCTGACGTCTGCACTAGTTTTTCCCTTTCCTTTCCCTTTGGTTGGTGTCGGCGACTTCTTGTCAGCTATAAGCGGTGTAGGGGACTCAACAGATCGTGTTGTGACACTTGAGCCTTGTCGAGACGAGAAGATGCCTGGGGAATAGTCGAACTCACCAGCTTCTGCCATTTCCTGGTAGTGTGTTGAATGCTCCGTCCGTGTCGAGACAAAGGGACTTGCAGTCGGCGTAATATCGCTCATCTCCAACTCAGTGGCACTTGGCTTCGCTTGTGTAGGTGCTGGAGATGCTGGTGTTTCGTGATCGGAAGCGTCCTCCATCTCCTCGTTCTCCAATAGAGCTGGCTCGGCAACGTGACGACGTTGATTTGCCGATCGCAGAGGCCTACTTCGGTGCGGGAACGACTTTGCAGGAGGCTCAGCGCACATGTTCGCGAGCAATGATGCTCGGATACGCAAGCTTGGCTGGTTCAACGCTGCCTTCGCAATCTCCGTGTCACCACGAGACATCTCTCGGATCAACGCCAGGTGTTCGTGATGGACGTCCCAAGCCTGCTCGTACTTATTTCGGAGAATATAGTACATCACAAGGAAGTCCACGCGCTTGATGCTCTCGTCTCGAAGCACATCCTCGTCTTCGACGATATTACTCTCCACCATGTACGTGTGGAAGAGTTTCTCTTCCGCAGGCAGCAACGTCACTCCCTGAACCAGCTCCTTCAGTCGATGGCTCTTCATCAACCAGTTGAACAGCAAACCCAGCAAATCCGAGCGCTTCTGACTGCGAATCATAGACAAGGCGCGTTCCCACAGATCCAATTCCAACGAAATGACCACAACCAACTCGGTCGCTGCAGGTGGCGACTGCTCCAGCTCGACTCCGAACGTGTTCCACACTTTCCATGCCACGAGGCTTTCTCCTCTGTGGACCAACGTCTCAAGTAAATGAAGAATCAGATCTGCTTCCAGATCATACTTCTGATGTAGATGCATCGCGCTCGATTGCTGCAGAAGACTAATAGCATGTTCATATATGGCCGCCACCTGGTCGTCCCCCGACGTCTTGACCACGACAGCGTTCTCCACCAGCCACAAAGCCAGCAACGTCAACTTCATATCGTCACGCACATTCAGCTGCGCCGCAAGAGAATCAGCCAATGAGCGCATTTTGTTCGCAATCCGAGCTCCACTCTGCGTGTGCTGCTTCCATACACTCAGATACGCTCTGTCCAAGCAGAAATACAGCAGCAACGCCACCTGTACGCGAAAGTATCCTTCAATAGGCTCACGTTCCACTTCCTCGCCGTAAAAGTGCACCACGTCTTCCTGGATGGAAGGCGTTCGCAGCAGCTCTAGCAGCTGTCCGAGCTGCGTTGGTGGGCAGCTTCCTCCAAGGTTTTCCAGCGAGATATTCGCGCTCTTCATGACGTGCTCGATCAGCAGCATTGGCTCCTTCAATCCACTCACAGACGACAGCTTATTACCGTAAATATCTTCAAATTGTTCACGGTAGGTGACGCGCAGTGACCTCGCTTGGCTGTAAAACGCGTTGTACATCTCGTTGTCCGCTGCAATTCCGTTCTCATTAAGCCACAGCATGCAGTTGCAAGCGCATGCGACGCTCTGTGTGCGAGCCAGCAATTGCAGCAAGTTTTGGATGCCTGCAGTGGTTAGTCGCATCAGTTCCGTCTCGTCCAGTACGTTGCCGTCCGCATCTACTCCGTTGGAGCTGTACGCCGCCTGGAGAGAGCCTTCTTTAAGCCTCTCTGTAAGCGCAATCAAGATCATCCGCAGTCCATTGAGCTGTCGTAGCCCCTCGTCTACGGCTTCTTGTTTGGCTGCGCGAGGCGATTCGCGTCCGCTGTATTGCTGCTCATTGACCATCTCGTTCACGTCCTGCTCGATGGCCTCAAGACGACGACGCGCCCATTGCTGCACTGCAATTGGCTCCTTCAGCACGTAGTTCTTAACTCCAGCGAAGGCGCCTTCGGGCTGTGAATGGTCTGCGCGAATATAAGCCACTACAAGGTGTGCAAGGCCGCTCTTTAGGCAGACGTCGAAGAGTGCGCTGCGTTGTACCAGGGGCTGGGCACCAGAGTGTCCTCCGTGCAGTGAAGCGTCCACATTGGCGCGACGAAAGACACCCGATACGGAAAAGAACTCGAAGGTCTCTGCAGGCTCCACGAACGGCTGCCAGCCGAGCTCAGCGAAGCGCTCAAGCACCTGTGTGGGAGGAGGTGAGGTAGCAAGCAAGTTAGAAGCTACTGAGGGCGAGTGGGCGACAGGAGAGCAGGACTCACCGGCAGGAGCATCATTATTTCCCCTCCAACGCGGCTTGTGCGCCAAGAGGCTCCCACGCTTGAATGCGCCTTACAAAAGCCAAGACGATTACACGGCATACAAAGATGTAGTGAATAAGAATCACGGGGATGTTGTGATGAAATGATTGTGCGGATATAAGATATGAAAGGTTGAGCAAGTACCTCAGAGTTAATACTTAGTAACGGCACTACTGTATTGGAATCACACTTGCAAGAAGTTTTGCCATGCTCCTGTCGTTGCCACAGCTGTGGGAATGCAAATAGCGTAAGTACAATAAGTTCTATTACTTTCCGTTGGCAATAAATGAGCAATGGGGGCACTATCTAGCTAGTAACTCTTCACTCAAGCTTAGCCGAATGTGTGCCTGTCCGTACAAGCTGCTGCATTCGCTTTGATGGCGTGGTCATGGCAGCAGGTGGCACTGTCATCCATGCTAGCGCGCGAGTCGGTGGTTCTGGGCTCCTCACGGCACATTGGACAGTGAGTGTTACCCTGCAGCCATTCTAGCAGGCATTCCTCGTGGAAGGCATGTAAGCACGGTAGCTTGACCACATTCATGCCGACGCATTCCTCGTCATCCCACTCGCCGAGGCAGATGCTGCAACAGTCACTGGTGCTTAGACCCTCCACTGCTTCGAGTAAGTTGCTCCGAGAGTCCACAACTACGTCTTCAAGCGACAATACAGCCAACTTGAGCTTGGTCTCGCTTTCGATCTGCTTGTCCGGGTACTCAAGAAAGTCGCGTAGGATCGAGTAGAGTGCCAGTAACTGTTTGGCCTCAGCTGTAGCTGCTGCATTACTAGTACCAGAAACATCAGCTGTCATGGGGATACTGGCGATGATCTTGACTAGCGACTGCACGAATACCTCGAGTGCCGTTCGACGCTCAGCGATGATCATGTTGTTGTCGCAGCGAAAATGACGGCGTGGGAAGGCAGCTTCAAGCGTCTTGTCCAGCGCCAGTAGTGGGGGCGGGCAGTCAATGCCGCTTCCGAGATGTTGCTTGTACTGCTTGAGGAACTTGCGTAGTTGCTGGCGTACTGCGTAGAACTCCGAGTAGCGTTTGGCAATGCTCCACTTGTTGCGCGTACTACGGAAGGATATGTCCATTTGGTACATGGTGGCAGGCGCAGCGACGCCGCCGGCCAGCGCCACCTGCGTACTGATGTTGAGCGAGTTCTTGGTCGTCTCACACACGCGCTGCAGACGCTGCAAATGGATGCTCGTGTCGGACATGATGTTGAAGTTTCCGGAGTACTTTGCTTGGATTTGCTTGTCAGCGGGGGTCGTGCTTGCTCGCCGCGAAGGCTTTTGACGAATGAGCCCGATGTCGCAAAGAGGGCCGTTGGGTACTGCACCAAGATGAAGCAGGGGGCTTGACTTGTGGCTCGCAAACGGTGAGCTGCGGCAGCCTCTATACACGTGATGGGTGGCGTAATGAGCGTAAGCTGTCGCACAAAATAAATCGCCTGTGGCCTCAATGAGGGGGTACGCGGGCTGCTTCTTGAGGTTAGTGTGCTGTTTCGGAACTGAAGACGAAGAGCTTGTTGCACTCGCAAGATCGAGGATATCAATAGCGCACTATTAACCAGATGTGTATATATCTTGCAGATATATATTTTCGGCACCGCGTTCTGGGCGGGCTTCGTGCTTTCTAGCAATGCGCTGAGGGTGGGTTATCAGCGCCAGAGGTGCTAATATATCGCAGCAAGCACCACCATCGCAGGCTACGTCTCTCAGCAAGCCATCAGGGAAAAAGAACCCATGAGTTCGGTGGCGTCTCTGCCAGAGCATCAAGCCAAACTTCTCGATGCTTATCTACATGGCAAATTAACAACTTGTCATTGGCAACTTCGCACGGGCAAAAAGTGCACCGCGAACCGAATGAAACCGATAATGAGTTAAGACGATCGTATATGGCTTCAGGTTCTCACGAGCAAGTTATGTCGGACACGTTGCAAAGCTTCATGGTGTCGGAGCGCCATAAACACGGAAGCTTAAAATACGAGAGAAGAAATATGAATATCCGTACAAATAGATACCGGTAGTTGAGTATATCCAAATATCGCAATAAATTATTGCAATACAGCTACCGGTAGCATCTACAGCATGGCTACGTCGTACATGTAGTAGGCTGTGTTCATTTCCGTGAAATAATTTACCTAGTTTTACGAATTGGCGACATAAATAAGGGCTGAAAGTAGGACATTCCTAAACAAATTCTTAGAAATAATAGTTAATTTTTTGAGTATCTATTCTTGGCCATCCCGGTTGGCTTGGCGATGTATTTTGGCTCCGTCCTGCGTCAGTGCGACTCGCACTGTGCGAGTGCCTCCGTCTAATGATGACCTTCGCCGCAAGTGTTCATAAAAGCCCCGCGATGGAGGCTCCATTGGAGCATTAATGGCTCGCATGTCGCGGCAAGTCACGCTCATAAATGTCGCACAATTGGTGCACCACATCTAATCGACCTTCGCGCTACATCGCGTTGGCTACGCGTCTTGACGGGATAGCCAGATACAACGAGAGCAGCATCATGAACAAGTACGTGTCACCTTGACGGCAGCAACGGCTGTAAGAGCTGAGAAGCTGTAAATTAGTAGCGTCCTGTACTGATACCGTGTGCGCTGATGTGTTTCTTGTATGTGACAGCGACGAGATGGACGCGGCCCTGATGGTGTTTGTGAACTGCCTTGGGGCGGTGATAATGGTCTCTGTGGTGGGCTTCCACTACCTCACGGCCAAGCCCAAGGACGCAGATCTTTAATCGATAGAAGGTGTTGGGCAGGCAGCTGGGTGCGATATACCTTCGAAGTTGCTGTAACGATCGCCGTACCTCACGGACTCACCACGTGACTCGCTTCCTGTTGTTACAGTCTCGCGCTCTCGCTAGCAAATGCAAGTCAAGTGTCGGCGAGGCTAAAACTCCACGCTAATAACACTGACTCTGGACCTGCGCAAGAGGGCAAGCTCTTCGACACGGTCGGTAACTGGATGTGCAGGGTGTTATCGTGGGGCAGTAATATTCTGTCGACGGCTTTGTTTGGCAGTTGATCTGCATGCATTAACGGAATATCTTGATACTATACATCTGCTTCGCTTGTTGGTGTTGGTTCATTCACCACTAGACCTGCCTGTGCATGATGTACTGCGTTCATTCACCACTCCACTTGCGCGAAGAAGTTTTTCGTACTTAACCGAGGCAAAATCTAAGTTCGCTGAGAGCTCATCATTCAACATCATGAGCACAGGACGCGTCAAGGTGCTGTGCGAGCGCATTATGAGCCGTGGCTACGAGCCACGCGTTGCGCGCCTCATGGAGAACGTCAAGACCACGGTGCGTGCGCAGCCCGGCTTCATCTCCATCGACACCTACGCGCAGGTGGATGACCACACGAAATACGTCGTTTTCTCCGAGGTAGAATAATCACATTCTCCTGGCAGAAGGTTGCGGTTCGAATCTCTAATATCTCCTCTTGTCTTCTGCTAGTGGGAGTCTAAAAAGGATTTCGACATGTGGCTGGCCAGCAAAGAGTTCCGGGAGTGCACGCAGCAGATTAACGAGTTGCTAGACGTGCCAGGGCTGCACATGCGCATCTTCAAGACCCCCAAGGAAGACGTTTTCCTCCTTTGAGCAGATGACAACACGACAGCATTGTTTACACAGAAATACTACAAAAGCACTTCATTGCAGTCTAGATTGCAGGTATGCTTCAGTTTGTGTCAATTTTGTTCACAGCTTTCATGGTTCTTTCGCTTGTAACGTCTACAGTAGAGGCTCGCAGAATGGCCACAGCACAACGCTCGCAACAGACCCTGCAGTAGTCAAAATCGGGTGCTGAAGCCATTGTACATCTTTTTCTCCGCCGTTGACGATGTCGACTTCCATTCGTCTAAGAAGACTCGTCCGCCTTGCAGCCCTTAATAAAACTCTTTATCCGATCAACAGTGTCCCGCACCGACTTGGTGAAAGAGTGCGGCTTGCTGTGCGGATCCTCCCCTCTCTCCGCGCGTTCGTTTTCCTCCTTTAAGAACTCCTCCATCAGCTCCTCCTGGCGCTCTGACAAGTTCCTATTAACAGGATCAAAGGCAGCACATACGTTAGCACGACTATAGACTGGACATCACTCTCCTACACTCAAACAATCACGTACTTGGGGACGCAAACTTGCAGGTTCACCAGCTGCGAGCCGCGGCGGTTCGAGTTGAGCTCCTTGATTCCCTTCCCACGCATCTGCAACACCGTATCTGGCTGTGTTCCTCGAGGGATCTTCATCTCCACTTCGCCTGTCAAGGTCGGCACCACTACCGTGCCACCCAATACTGCCTTCGCGACGGAGATAGGTACGTCCACCAGTACATCTGTCTTACGACGCTTGAAGAATGGATCCGGCAGCACATGAATGCCCACGTACAGATGTCCTGCTGGTCCGCCGCGTTGGCCAGGTTCGCCCTGGTGTGCGAGACGAAGGTTCATACCCTGGTCCACACCTTCGGGGATCTTCACCTCCACTGTACGCGGCTTCTGGACTGTACCCTTACCGTGGCATTTACCACATGGGGACTCAATAATCGATCCTTCGCCGCGACAACGACGGCACGGAGTCTCTACAGCAAAGAATCCCTGCTGCATGATCTGCACACCAGATCCATTGCACGTAGAGCACGTTTTCTTCTTCGTTCCAGGCTTGGCTCCAGATCCGTCGCACGTGTCACACTCGACATTGGCAGTGATGTTCAAGTCGCGCGTGGTGCCTTTAACTGCTTCCATGAAGTTGAGCGTAATGTCCACCTGGATGTCGGAGCCACGTTGTGGCTGGTTGGCGCTGCGGCGAGAGCGTCCACCGAAGCCCTGACCGCCGAAAAACTCTCCAAAGATATCCTCGAAGCCCTGTCCCTGGAAGCCACCGCCACCGCCGAAGCCAGCCTGTTCATCTACGCCGGCGTGGCCATTCGCGTCGTACTTTTGGCGCTTGTCATCGTCTCCTAGGATCTCCCAGGCCTCAGTGGCCTCTGCGAACTTCTTGGCTGCGTTCGGATCTGCCTTGTTGGTGTCTGGGTGGTACTTCTTGGCTAGCTGGTAGTATTTCTTTTTGATCTCGTTCTTATTGGCGTCAGATGAGACCCCCAGCACGTCGTAGAAGTCGCGCTTGCTGGGCTCCATGGCGGCACGTGTGCTGTGGAACGTCGCGCAATGTTCCACTAGCGCCGACGCGCCATACAGTAGCGTGGTAGGTCGCCGCGTCTGCGCACCCAAAACGCGCACCGCCGCCGAGCGCAGCAGCACCGATCGAATGGCCATCACTTATAAAGCAAATTAGGGAATGGCGGTCAAATTGTGTGGACCCCGGACTTCTAGAATCTATCTTTGGGTTTTGACCAATCACGTGTTGAAATGCTATTTGATAGGATTATCTGTGACGTGTGAGAACCGTTTTACCACCGAAACGACGCGGATGGGATTGCTAAATAGGCTTCAAGAGGAAGATGTCGGACTCGGACCCGGAGGCGGATCATGCAGATCAGCAAGATCAGGTGGGGGTAGAAGGAAATGAAGAATTGGACCTTGCGATTGATAACGCTGAACCAGGCGGAGGGGGTGACCAGGACGGCGTGATGGGTCCCCAAGACGAAGAGGACACCGACGAGGACGACGACGACAGTGATGACGACGAAGACGACGATGAGGAAGAGGACCCGACTCAGACTATTGTGGATATGGGTCGGCATGAGCGTATGCAGCGCATCCAGAAGGTGCTGTACGAGCAGCTCGTGGGGAACGATGAGCGCTTGTCGCTGGAGCTTCGCGAGAAGGAAGAAGAGCTCCGTCGAGCCAAGACGGCACGAGAAGACGTGGGTGTTGCGCTGTATGGAGTACAGCAGCAACTTGCACAGCTTCAAGTTGCACTCGAAGCAGCGCATCGCCGCCTTACGACGCTGCATGACGAACGGTTTACGAGTGAAGATAAGCTTGACGAGTGGAAAGCGAGTGCTGAGGAGAAGAAGTTGGCGGTCGAACGTCGTCGTGCACACCTGCACAAGACACAAGCTGAGCTCGACTCTCTGAATGCAATACTACGACAGGTGGAGAAATACAACGAAGAGATGAAACACGAGATTGCTCGCACACAACGTGCCGCGGAGAAGGCGGAGGAGTCAATGACGGTTGCCGAGAAAGATAAAGTGAAGCAGGATCTGTACATTGATCGGCTGAATGAGCAAGTGAAGACACTGCAAGATCAACTGGCAGCTAATGCTTCGCAGCTCAAGACGCAGCGGATGGAAACTCAAGCCGCAGAAGAAACGCTACGTGAGGCTGCGGCGCAAATGGAGGCTGTAGCTTTTGAGAAGAAGCAACTTCTACAGCAGTGGAAGAGTGCGCTTATTGGAATGCAGCAGCGTGATACTGCGCTTCAGGCCACTCAAGCCGCGATCTCCAAGGTGGTTGAGGACGAACTAGCGCTCAGTGCTGAGCAGCGTGGCTATAAACTCTCAATCGAAAAGGCCCAGCAAATCCATGAGACGCTGATCGCTACCATCGAGCGCTTCAACGTAGAGCTGCGCTTCGTCGAGGAGCAAACCCAGAACTTACAAGCTGAATTCGAACGTCTCGCAGCTCGTCATGAGCTGCTGGCCAAGTCTCTTAAGCAAACAGAGGCGCAGGTCTCTTCTGCTGCGTTGGAAGGCAAGAAGCTGGAGTCAGAAGCTGCCCAAGTAGCGCAGCACTTGGAGACAACGCAGCGTGAACGTCACTTGCTTGAAGACGAGATAGCTGCCGAGAAGAACGACCAAACCACCGTACACAAGGCAGCGCACAATCTCACCAAGGAGACCCAGCGACTTGTGTCTCGTGTGCACGAGAAAGAAGTCGAGCTGGCGAATCTTCGCAACGAGATGGCTCGAGTAGGAGTCGACGCACTCAATGTGCAGAACCACACCGCGCAGCTTGTAGAGGCCCAACGAGCCCTCGTTGAAGAGCTCAGGCGAGACGATCAGCGTGTGAAACGTGCCGAGCTGGAGATCCGTCAGCGAAACGATGAGATCGAAAAGAAGATGCTGCGTCTGGATCGTCTTAACAAAAAGTACGAGCAACTTGTGAGTAAGATGGAGGACGCAGACACTGGTCCACTGGAAGCGATCATCAAGAACTTGGTTCGTGAGACCAAGATCGGTCGAGAAGACAACACTGCCAAGCAGAAGCAGTGGCTTAACACCCAAACGGCACTTGTACATGCTGCAAGTGAGGCACAAGAGCTGAGTGACCGCAACCAGGAACGTAAGAGCAAGACGAGCGTTCTGGAACAGAAACAGCTGCGTCTTCAGCATGAGCTGCACGAAATGCAGCGGGAGCTAAGAGATCTCTCGAATGGCATTGCATCTCTCCACGCAGACACTGGAAGACTGAATGATCTTATCGCTCGTCAAGGTTCTCGTCACGACGACTTGCTTAATAGTAATCACGCACTCGAGCTCGAGTTTGCAAGTGAGTTGCGGGAACTCGAGGCCACATCGGTGTCGATGGAAACTCGAGCTGCTACTCTACGTCAAGAAAAGCAGGAACTACTGGGCCGTGTCGTGGAGGTAGAGCGACAACTCATGCTCTGGGAGAAGAAGATCCAGCTGGAGAAGGAGACCCAAGCTGCTCTTGACCCTGAAGTGGGCCAGGCTGAAGCACGTAGCATGGAGAAGGAGATCCACCGCATGCGTCTACGCCTTGAGACCTTACAACGGAGCCAAGAGCAAATGCTGCAAGAAATGGAGCAAGCTGTGCACAAGCGAGACGTCATTGCGCTTCGTGGTCGTAGTAAGAAAGAACAGGAGGCCGACCTCACGTTTGCTGCGCTTACAGCGAAGGTATCTACGCTACAGAATCAACTGCGCAAAAGTGAGCGAGATGCCTCGAGACTGGATAAAAGTATCCGGAAACAACTCGTGGCGGGTGAAGATGTTTCTTTCCAACTGGAGAAAGTTTCGGCTGAACTTAAAGTGGACGAAGAGCGAGGATTGTCACTCCAACGTGCGATTAACACTGCTCTCTACGATAAGCAGCGATACATTGATGCTGCAGCACGTAAACTTCGTATGACAAAACGCTTCGACTCGCTCTGTCGCGGAGTGGCCAATGGTCCTGCCAATGAGACACAAGCAGCTTCAGCCTTGGAGAAAGCGAAGGAGGGCGTCGAAAAGGTTCGGGCCATCGTTGTCATGCTTCAGAAACAGAATCCTCATTTGGCTGAGGTTCTTCCTCGCGTTTTGTTGCTTGCTGAAAACCCGCCACCAATGGAGAAGTAGTGGCAGGATTCATCATTATTATATTACGCTTTTATTTCTTAAGCCCCGCCGTCGCTCTCGTAGTGCTTCGAGGAACCTCTTCAGTTTGGATGCAACATCTTCGAGATGTGGTTTGCCACTCGTGGTCAGTGCTGTCAGGAAGCGTGGAGGTCTCAGGTACATGCTGTTACATAGATATTAAAGCATACTTCTTGACAAGATAAACGCAATATGAACACGTACTCAATGTAGTATTTTCGCGTTCGCAAGAGTATTGCCAGCACTTGGTCGCTACCCGAAGCAACATCGCACTTCACGAGCAGATCCAGAACAGTCACACATCTCCAAAGTGACAGCACTTGTGCCGGCTTCAAAGCTCCTGTACAAGCAAAATCGTCCTCTTTATCGTCCGATTCCCCTTGCTCCTTGCGCTGATCTCCCTCGAGCTCGCAGTCCTCAAGTCGCTCGATTGCGATAGCTGCGCGCGATACTGCGATGCAAACTCGCTTAAAAAATTTCGGAAGCCAATCTGGAAACGCTGGAGCTTTAGTTGCTTGCTGCATTACGGACGTGGATCTCTCGATCAACAATCCCCTCATCTGCTGGTGCCGATGCGAACGGAAGTCTTCGTACTGCTGCATAGCATCGAGTGCGAGAAGCACTGCCGCTTGAGCATCGATGAAATCTTCGCGTACCACATCTTCAGCTTTATCGTAGCTCTCCACCCCACGAGCAAGTAGGTTACATACTAACTCATGCGGTGCTAATTTATCGAAGCAACTTGTTCGAAGTTGCATGTCAAAGCACATGGCACTAAAAACGCTCGCAATACTGAATAGAAACTCCACTCGCGCCTTAGTGTTGTCGCTTCGACGCAGTGGGATCGAAAGCTGGCGACCTAAAAGAGCAACTAGACCGGTACAGTCTGAGACTTGTGTACGATCTTCAAAGAATAGCTGTCTCAATTCGTCCGAGGAGTACGCAGCGGCAGTAAGCTCTTTAAGCAATCCAGTACGCTCAATGTCGTCACGTGCACGGGCTAGATCCAGCACAAACATCTCCAATAGATTCGTCAATTCGAGACGCTGCTCTAAAGCGTTATCCGCGCGTTGAAGTTGCGGTATCAACTGTCTCTGTAAGATCACAGTTCGTCAGACCCCCCCTTCGGTATGTGTAACACTTGTTTGTTAAAGCCAACCTGGAAGTCGATGCGCAACGCCCGTGAAAGTTGAAAGAAGAGTTGCGTCTGTGGTTCAAACGTCGAGAAGAACACTTCCGACGGCGTTTTCTTGGTTGGCGCCTCTCGTAATTGCAGTCGAAAGAGTTGACTGGTCGGTAGCAAAAGCAGACCTTTTTGCTTCTTGTTTGTAGGCAGCACTCGCTCTACCATGGCGACATTCCGCAGCGGTAAACACCTATCCGGATCAACTCCGCCTCGACTCATAAGCGGCACGATGAACAGTGTATCGCTGCTCAACGCGAACAAGTGGAATTGCCCAGTGCTCACCACTGCAGCTTCATGGTATCGCAGCTTGTTGAATCTCTCTGAACCAAGTCTGGCTCGTAGCCTCTCGGGGTCTAAATGTCGGGGTCGGCACAACGTTGGTGACAGCATCATTACAATCTTCTGGTTAATAGGGATTCGTGAGGGGGGGGGGGGTAAATGACAAGCAAGGGCCCTGGACTCTCGAGGCTCTGTTTTGGTCTATTGAGAGTATTAATACATCCACCGATCATTCGTCTTCAGTCTCTACGTCGTCCTCGTCTTCTTCTTCTTGGCTGCTATCGTCACCATCGACCTCCACTTCCTCTTCTCCTTCGTGGTACACCACAGCGGCGCGAGTCTCGTCGTCTTCCTGTTCGTTGTTGCCGTTGTTGACGTGGATCTGACCCAACACGAGCGCCAGGCGACCCGACAGCTTCTGCATCTGTTCATGCACCTGCAATCTCGTCTCCAAAAGTTGGTACAACGCTGATAGACTAGGCACGAGATCGGGCTGAGCCACTAGATACGCCGTGTGATGCAGCAGCACCGCACGCAGCCACGGACACAGACGTGCGAAGCGGTTCGGCGAGCGCTCAAGCTTCCGAACGATCACTTCCAGCAGCGCCAGAACACGGGACGCCGGCACGCGAGCCACAGTCTTGGCGACCACTTTCACGTCACGCGTACGCAAGCAGTACTCCAATAGAGCGTTGTCACGCGCCTGTAGAGCCTGCTCTAGGACACTAGCCAGCGACGAAGCATCAGGCTTATTGTCCTTATCCTCCGGGGCGTCGGCGTCACGCTCCGCACGGCTAAGAGCAGCAGTCACGTCACCTTCGACGCGTTCACGTAGAGCCTCGACACGTTCTGCGAGCGTCAGCTCGTCCTCTTCGTCCTCGTCACCGTCCAGGTCCTCAAAGCTGGTGGTGTCGTCTACGACTGCCATGGAGTTGGCTAGTGCACGACGTTCACTCAGTGTCGGCACGTGGGTCTTCTCGTCTTCAGCAGTAGAGTCCACCTTCTGTCGCTTGCCGTTCTTGTCGGCACGCTCAGCCGTGAGAAGTAGAGCGTCACTGATCTCAGCAAACTCGAGCTCTTTCTTCCATTGACTCGGCGTATTCTCCTCCACAGGGGAGACTGTCTCGAACACAGGCTTGACGAGAGATCCACGCGCCACCAGCACCTCCGTCTTATCCTTCTGCGTGCTAAGCTCAGCCAATAAGATGCCAGCACTCTCCGCTGTTGAGAGCGTGGGAGGCAGCGGCTTGGACGCCAACGCCAGCTCCGATGCGTCCTCCACCTGTTGATACTTGTGCGCCCAGAGGAACATGGCACCGGCCGCAGCCGTCGCGCCCACCAGCAGATCAATCACAGGCTTCACAGCCTCCTTTTCCTTTTTACTCTTCTTGTTCTTCTTGCTCTTCTTCGTCACAGCTTCGCCCACCGAAGCGCGTGCAAACACAGCGTCAGCACTGCTGGGCAGACTGAATGTGAGAGCCGGCGCGTCGTGCTCCGTCAGCTCCAAGTCGTACATATTGACGAAACGTGCGCCCGCAGTTGCTGCGAAAAGGAACCTGGACGACTCGATGCCGGTCTCCACATTGGCAAACCGCAGTTGCGTCACAGCAGTCGACAAGCCTGACACGAGCTTCCTGCTCTTCTTGCCCGAGGATAAATCGAACGTGCGCAGCGCCGAGCCGCCGACTGCCAGAATCTCTCCGTCCGCTGAGACTGCGAGCGCCGACGCGCCGCCCGAACCGCAGCGGAATTTCCGCTCCACTTTGCCACTGCTAACGTTCCATTCAAGTATGTGCTTGTCACTCGAGCTCGAGTACAGTAGCGAGCCCTGAGGGTTAAAGGTTAAAGCCTGTACGGCGCCCGAGCCGTGCGCTGCGTCCGCCTGAAGCGTGTGCTTGACCTCACCCGTGGCCAAATCCCAGACTACGACGATGCCGCTGCTGGTGCCTAAAGCCAGTAGTCCTAGGCCGCTGTCGCCGCTGCGCTTCTTGCTCTTGGTTTTAGGCTGTGTCCATGCCAGACTCGTGTAACGGTAGCTGAGGTGGTCGCGTTCCTTAAGCTCCTGCTGCAACGCGCCATTGGCCACGTCCCACACTTTGAGGCGGCCGTCCTCGGACACGGCCGCGAAGTGCGTCTGCGAGTCGGCGAAGAGCTGCATGGCGAAAGAGCCAAGTCGGGTAGTGATGCTGGCTGGAGCTCTCAGAGCCAATTCTACTGGAGCAGAGCAGCCCAAGTCGGAATGAGAGGTAGTCCAAATGAAAGGTATTGGAAGTGGTACACGTAATTGTGTGACGTGATACAGATTTCTTTATGTTGAAGGTGTTGAAGGTGTTGAAGTTGTTGTGAGGCGGCGTACGTTGACACTTTCGGCGGTGAGACTTTGGAGGGGGAAGCAAAGCGTAGTTCGTCGTTGTCCGCTCTTCATGATCGGTCTTGGGAAGTGGTTTGGCCGTTGTGCAACGAGAGCTGGAGATTGTGGGAACACCTCAGAATTTCTCACTGGTACTGGGTAAGCTGCTACTGATACTTGTAGCCGTGGTTTGTGTGGACAAGTGCGCGTTGTTGTCAATGCTGACAGATTAATCGGGGATGGGGGCGGTTCGGTGTACAACTTTATGCGGTAGCCACCGCCCATACGCTTGATGGACATCGGACTTCGAGGCCAATGCGGCATTATTTGACGAAGTGAAAACATCGCTTTCTAATAAAGAGAAGTGACCATTTGTTGAAAATAAAGGATTGTGATAGGCTAAAATAGAAGTTTGCTTTGGAGAAAACTTCGCTTACGACAGGTAGTAAGGATGCCTGATGTGATTGGATTAGCTAGAAATCCGCTGTGGGGTACATGAATGTTTGTTGCTTCTCAGTCGAGAACTTCACCTGCGAACATGAATCTTCGCTGTGGTTTGTACGGCGAAGGGAGCGTCTTCTCCGTCAACATCGATCACAATGCAGACGTGGAGACGCTGCAGGAGAAGATTGCAAGTAGATACAGAGTCGTCAGCAACCGCGTTGAGATTTTCCCAGCCGCGTTGACGCTGTATTTGGCGCGGAAAGCGGGTGGCACGTGGTTGAAGGACGACCGTAATGTGAAAAAATTATTGCGAGGCAGTATCAGCAATGATTACAAGGAGATGCATCTGTCGTGGAATCTCAACAAGGTGGAGTTGTTTGGACCAGATTTCGCCCTCGGTGAGGAAGTGATTCATGTGCTGGTGGAACTTTTATCCGCAGCTGATATTTTGCCAAACAAGCGACAACATATGGGAAGTGTGCCGCGAATTGAGAAGGTTGAAGATGTGCCTCAGATTAAAATCCAAGGGGTGCAATATGTGACGCTGCCAGCTGCATTTCTCGAGAAGTGTGGTTACAGAGTCTCGGATGACTTGATGCTGTATTGTCGCCGTGAAGTGCTCGATCTGTGGGGCTTTGTGAAAAATGAAGTCATTGCTAAGAATGCAAGAGGATTCATTGTTGGACCACCTGGCATAGGCAAATCTGTGGCTACGCTAAGTTT